ATGGGGCGCTCGGCATGTCACTCGGATGGTGTGGATGATGGGTGATGGGGCTGCCGTCCGCGGCACCATGCCCGTTGGATCGTCGACTGCCTAGATCAGGTGGGCATGATGAGGTTCATTGCAAGTCGAGGCTTTAAATTCACCACATTTGGGGAGGGGATGAATTCAAGGTGTGCCTTGCCTGGCCCTACATGTCTATGAGTGGAGGGGCGAGACTACACACACAAAAAAAATGCGTGGAGAGGAGCAGAAATTACTTGTGGCTGCAACCACACCTGGAAATACAAATATTAACTTGGATTTAGAAACTAAGCACATTAGCTACTAATAATTGCCCAATGATGGTGTGAGTTTGCAAGCTAGAATGTGGAAAACAAAATATGATCAACAATTGTTGACGATGATAAGGGGATGAGTACGCAACGAGAGAACTCGTTGAATAACTTTGACAAGATCAAGCACAATGTATACCCGGCGTACCCAAGTTCAGGTTCCCCGAGATGGGTAAAGCCCCTCATGTCTTGCCCTCTAATCTTTTTCATCTCCAGGACTACTTATAGGGCTTATTTCACAAAATAAAGGACTACTTATAGGGCTCGATTTAGAGAAAAGTACAGGGTTCTTTTAGAGGATTTGTGGTGGGCAAATTAATATACATCAAATCTAAAACTGGCATAAACAATAGTGCTTCTCGAGGTCGATGTGCCTTGCGTAAATTTTTGCTTGATATGAGCTTTTGCTTCGTTGTGGCATCCAAGTCCTTATACACACACTGTCTTAACAACCAATGCTTGGTTCTCTTCGAGTTGCACTTGCAAACGGTTACGATCCAAGAAAAGATGTCAATTTGAAATTCAGATTTGCAATGAGAGGCGTGTGTCAGTGAGAGGCGTTGTTTCTCTTCGTGATGCCTTTCATATAACCAAAAGTTCTTTTTCTATATGTCAGTGTGGCGTGTGTTCTAGTAGATTGTCTTCATTTTTTGTACAAATGTATCTTCAATTCGAAAAATATCAGCAAAGATTCATCCCTAGAGGACACGAGTGATAGTTTATAAGCCGAAGTGGCTGAAATTAATGACATCATTCCAATGGCTAGTTCTTTTCAAAGCTTTTCCAGATTTTCAAAAAGTTTATCACATATTTGAATATTTTCCATGATTTTTTGAAAGTTATTAAGATATACGATTTGCAGTGAGAGGCGAAGGATGATAAATTCTAAATCAGAGACGTTTTATCTGGTTTGAGAGCTAAAACATTAATAACTTCATATGAACATCAATGTGGATGGGCCAATTTTCCCCCATGGCGATCTGATCTCATGGGTGCAGCTTCACATTAGGTGGTTCTTGCAACGTTGTTTGTGTACCAAGCATGTCAAGACATCTTTGTTTAAAATTATTTTTGTATTGTATGCCAAAGTATATGCTACCTAGCACTGAAAAGATAACTCCTTCAAAAGAGCAAGGCATGCTTGAAACGCAGGAAATCAAAATGCAGGACTAGGAAAAACGTAGGAATTGAGATGTCATGTACGGATGTACCCTAGATTCCTACAGGAACAACACCGCGAGAAAACATCCAAAATGTTGTTTGAATGTCATGGAGGGTAAACACAAAAGTTGTACGTGCAGAAAGAAGGTTTACAGGGTACCCCCGAATTGCTATGGAATACCCAAATTACATAAGAAATTTCAAAGGTACATATACAAGATAGTATTTCCTTTGTTGCAAATAGCATCAGTTTCATTGGATTCATCATGGAATGTAGTTTCATATTATGTACATTTAGCATTGTAGATGTTGATATTTTTTAATATAAGTTTGATCAAACTATGTAAAGTTTGACTTGACACAAATTTTATATGTGAAATGAAAAAAAGAACGGTTGAAGTATTTCTATGCATTTTCCCTATCTTTCAAACGGGTCTGCGTAGGAAACGATCTAAACCCGGATCACCTGCGTCTCAATAATAACAATAACAATGTCTCTCTTTTTAAGACTGCTCCCCAAAGTAAAGCCAAGCCAAGCCCAGCTCAAGGACGGCACGGGCGGTAAAAAGAAGAAAAGAACACCGGCGCCACGTCAGTTCCTCTGACACCATCTGACACGCAGAGGAGGAGAGAGAAGCGGAAAATTCACCCACCGGCGACAAGCTTTGGCAAAGAGGCCCACGCCGCCGCAGGGCCGCCAGCCAGCGATGGGTGATGGCGGGCCCTCATCAACTCGCAGTGGCGCACCTGACGGCCTCCCTTTCCCCCTCCACCGCTCCGTGATTTCGCATTTCCGGCATGCCGTGATCTCGCGTCTGACAGCCGAGGCGTGCCGCGGCGCCCGTCGGATCGCTTGTCAATTCCCGGAAAAATGCGTGGGTCCCGCGGGAATCTCGATGCTTATTCAAGTCCGCCAGATATATCCCTGTCTCTCCGCTGTTACTACTGAACGCCAAGCTGAAAACTGATTTCCAATGAAATAATAACTCAGAGCCGCTGTTTGATGCGATGCAGATGGGCGTTCTTCGTTAACAAACTTCACCAAAAATCTGATGGGCAATGCCTGACTCGGCAGGAAATCCAGCGGGGCCAACGCCCGCACGCATTGTCAAATTTTGGCTCGTCGGTTTTTTGGTACCAAATCCCATCAATCAATCAATCAAACTCCTCTCTGCTTTTTTAGGTCTCTGATCCTCTGTTTTAGCTAAGAATTAACTTAAGTCAATCCAAAAAAGGGCGTCGGCTGGTGGATCTTTTGCCGTCTCGCGAGGCGCTTGATTGTGTGATGCGTGTCGTCGGTTTCTCTTCTTTAATTTTCTGCAATAATATTTTTGTGGTGAAACCTTCTCTTCTCTAATTTCCCGCAACAAGTTCTCTGTTGCAAAACTTCTTGCGTAATTTTCTGCAACATGACCCTTATTGCCAAAATTGCAAACACATCTCCCGCCGTGTCTATTTTTTTATAACAAGACTCTTGTTGCAAACAATGCAACAACATCTCCACCCACATCGCACACTAACACAATTGTCTTTCGTTGTCGCCGTTTCGCAACGACATTGTTGTTGTTGCAGAAACTTAGAGTGGACTTGGACATACGACATGGTGATGTGGCTGCTACTAGCGCTGGTGGTGTCAGGACGGTGGTGAGGTTGATAGCGCCCCACGCCGGCATGGCGGATCTCGTCGATCCGGTTGCTAGGAGGCGTTTGGCGGCGGAGATCCGGCATGGATGCGCTCACGACGACGACCTACATGTGGTGGCGCTCGACAACGACGAAGTACAGGCAGCGGCGCTCGGCGACGACGACCTATAGGGCGGCGGCGCTCGACGACGATGACCTACGGGCTATAGGGTGGCGGTGCTCGACGACGACGACCTACAGACAAGGGCGCTCAGCTTGGCTGCTGGTTGTGAGTGGTCTACAACAGACCATTTGTTTCGGTCAAACCAATTGAAACAAGGGACGAATTACAAAAACTATACTAGGATAGGTATTGATCCTCGATCGTTCGATCCAAATCAAATCCGACGGCCATCGAGGAGGTTGACGCGCGCATAAAACATCCGTCGGTTGAGTGGTAGCGTTTCCCAAAAAGAAAAGGAGGTTCGTGGCAAAGTGAAAAGATGTTAGAATCAGAGTGGCGATGGTTACTATTTTCCCGCGGCTTTTAAATAAAAAGTTACGAGGAGTGGTACCTTTTTTCCCCTCTCCCGGTGAAATCTCGGTGGCAAAGTTAAGACGTGCGCTCGCCGACTGATTAGGCACCCCCTCCTATCTCCTCGCGCACAGTACCCCTGGAAGATTTGGGGTGCTTGACCCGCCGGCCGTGGTACGTCCACGGTCCACCCAACAATTAACTGGGAATAAGAAACGAGTGATCCGTCGCCATGGTTGCGCGTCGCCACTGTGCATCCGCGTCCGCGTCACCGCGCTCTTCCCCCGCTGCCCGGCCTACGTGGTATTACATTACAGAGTCGCGATTCCATGGTGTATGTATATAAAGGAGCTTTGCCTCGTCCCCCTCCTCCCCTCCTGAGACCTCCGACTCACCACCACTCGACTCGAGCTCTTCTTTTGCGTGAGTGCGTGGAGAGAGAGAGAGGAGGAGGGACGAGCAAGCAGCCCGTTTCTTGCCGCCCACCTTCCCTTCGCCGGCCCACCTGCGTCGCGGGTACAGTACCACTGCTCGTCCATGGCGGCTCCTCCCTTGCTCTTCCTGCCTTCTTTGCTCCTTTCATTTGGTTCTGGACCCTAGACTCCGGCGGAGTTGCTCTTGGGGTCATCCATGGCGACTCCTCCGCGTTCTTCTTGGCTCTTATCGTTCGGTTCATCCATGGAGGCACCTTCCGCTGCAGTAGCTTCGTAGGTGCTGGCCATGGCGGTCATTTGCTGTTCTCATTTTCGAGAGTTGCTCGCGCCAGCATTTGCTTGATTCGCCTCCCTTTCTTTTTTCCTCGTTTTGGTTAGTGGCGATTACGTCTTCCGTGCTGATGATCAGCGGCGGTCTGGTGATTGTTCTCCTCTTCTCGAGCAGAAAAGAAAAGAAAATAGGAAGAAAACAGCAGATCGTTTTGTTTATTATTTCCCTGATTTTCTAGGCCGGGTCGTGTCAGAGCCATGTTTCCATGCATCGGGTCTCCAACCCCAGCCCTCTGCTGGTCTGCTCTGCCTTCTATTTTATTCTTTTTTTTTTATTTTGTTTCTTACTTTTGCTTCCACCCTCGCTACACTCGGCCCTCTCGGTTCCCTCTCCCCCTCCGCCCATCCATGGTGTGCGTGTTGATCGATGCCATTACTACTCTCTCTCTCCCTTCGTTTTGTTGCGCGCCTTTGCCTCTTGTTCTTTCATGCCGGTGGCCCGCGCGTCTGACATGACATCGCCCTTGCTGTGATTGCAGATGAGAAGCAGCGCACCGGCGGCGGCGTGATCCTCCTCCTCGCTCGGAGCAGAGGAGGGAGAGGCGGGAGAAGAGCAAGGACCGAGCGGGGCCCAGCCCAGGCCCAATGGAGCAGCGCCACCGACCGGCCGCGGCCGCGTAAGATTCCCCGCGACCCCGCCCGCCCCGTTTTAATTAATAATTACAATCCAAAGCTCTTTCCCTTTTCTCGTTCCACGGCCGCGCTGCTCTCGCGCCTCGACTGCCCGCCGACGGCGCCACCGCATGCTGCATTAGATCGACCCCAGCGGACCCGACCGCGACGTGCCGCTTCCCCTTTTATTGCTGCTGCCGGCCGGCGGCGGTGTGGTGGTTGGTAGCTGCGCGCTTCGTAATCTCGCGTTATTACGGGCGATCTTCTCATGCCGGTTAGGAGTTAGTTACCCGCTGTTGACCCCCGTGGACTTGGAGGCTGCTCCATGAATTCATCCATGGACGCATCAGCTTCCTTTCAGCCCGGCTCATGGCTTCTCCTGCCACTGCTGCCGGCGTGTAGGGGGGATGCCGGCCGCTGATTTCAGCATCCTTGGATCATCTCCTGTCAGTCTGAACTCTGAACTCCATTTTTAAACGAGCACTAGCGTGTAAGGCCCATGGACGAAGGTTCCAAGTTGTGCTTTGCAACCGCCAGCCATGCTTCCCTGAATTTGATCCGATCAAAGATTTGTCAGTTGTTAGGTACAGAGTCACCCATGTGATCAGCAATAATAAACTATGGCGACGCTTTCGATCCCTGAAAGATAGGTTCGTAGGATCGCAAAATACGAGTCGGCACACACAAAACTTTGGAGTTTTCCTTGGTGCCGGCGACACTAGTTTCTTTGGACCTGCAAACATTTTTTGGTGCGGCTCCCTTTCGCATCCAGCGATCGGATATGCTGCATTTTCCTCCCTTTAAAAAGGGCACACTTTTGGACGCCTCCAATGGGACAGTTATGTGTATTTTTTGGCCCATAAAGGGGGCCAAGGCCTATCAGCATTCCACTTATTTTGATTTGTAGCAAAGCTTAAAGGATGATGTGGTAGCACTACCTGTATATAAAACCATTGGCTGGTCTATCTTGAAGAAGAAAGCAGGAGCCTGAAAGTGTTGCTTTCTACTGGTGTAGCTGTTGTATCCTTGCGGTTGTTTCTACAGACATCTACTGTATGAGAGATTTTGCGACGCTGATGCAGCTTGCGTTTGTGCTTCTAACCTTTTTAGTTAAAGCAAAACTGCTTCCCTACGAGTATGAGAGCTCGCCACCTGTGCCCTACAAATCATAGTTAACCGGCCCAAGATTATGACGAAAATCTTTTCGTCAAAAGATTATGATTGGAAATCAAAGTGAAAAGCAAGAAAAGGACATATACTTAGTAACATCATAACCTGTCTTGTCAAACAAGAACTAATCAATTATTTTCGTTGGTACTCCAAGCTAAGGGATATTTTTCTTCTATATTTTTTTCCTGTTTTAGACAAGCATAGTTCTTTGGTGACAGATTTTTCTGTGATAGCAGTTACTCACTGATTTTATTACTACCTTATGCAGTGATGACACAACTAAGAGAAGGACCACCAAAAACAAAAGTTTCAAAGATGTTGAGAACTATGAAGTTCTTGTCCTTGAGAAGAACTGCGGTTGCAAGTTCAAATCCTTGCGCTACTTGCTTATAGCTATTGTTTCTGCGACATTTCTTACCCTCCTGACTCCGACGCTGTACGAGCGCCAACTACAATCAAGTTCTCGGTGAGTATAAATCATTCAAACAAATCTCAGCAAACTATTTGCGACACGTTAAAAGATGACAAACGTTG